TTAAGGCATTGGTTCTTTCCTCTGCTTTTTTTCCTTCTTTCCAATTTACTGAGATGTATTTCATACCTCATAAAATTCAGACATTTAAATTGTATTTTAAAATGTATAATTGAGGCTTTTGGTATATTTATGTAGTTGTGAAACCATCACCAATATTTAGTTTTAAAACATTTCAGCAACCCAAAAAGCAAGCCTATCCCCATTAGCAGTCATTCTCCATTTCCATCTCCCTACCTCCATCCCTGCTCAAGCTTCTCCTTTGCTTTTCCCACTTGCCTAGCTCATAGCAAATTTTCTTGGCACAAAATGAAAATGAAAGTTATGTATTATTTTTAAATGACTTTAAAGTACTTTATGAAATTTTGTATTTTTAATTTATAGAACATCCTCTTCAAATTTATTTAAAGCAGAGACTGAAAAAAAAGTCATCTTTTTAGGCTCCAACTTACTATATTGGTATATCATAATAAATATATTTATTCCAATGTGGCACTAAGGATTCATGTTTCCTCAAACAATCATTAAAGCAAACTAATATTTAAGGCACATAGAAAACTAGTACATCATCCCCCCCCCCCTGCAAATTAAACAGGCAAGGAAATCTTTTTAAATACTATCATTAGTTCACAGATTCTAAGATACACATTTTTAAACATTTCTGAAGTTAAGGCATGTCTTAAAACTGATAATCAATATGTCATGATTTAATTGAAATAATTTTTCTTTCTTAAATCTGTGCCTATTGAATCAATTCCAACTTATAGTGACCCTGTAGGACAGAGTAAAACTGCCCCACAGGGTTCCAAGGTTATAATCTTTATGGAAGAAGAATGCCACATCTTTCTCCCATGAGAAACTGGAGGGTTTGAACTGCTGACCTTTCAGATAGCAGTCAAGAGTTTAACCACTGTACCACCAGGATTCCCTTTTCTTCCAAAAAAACCAAACTCACTGCCATTGAGTCAATTCCGACTTATAGCAACCCTCTTTGGGTTTCTGAGGCAGTAAATCTTTATGGAAGTAGATTGCCCAGTCTTCCTTCTGTGGAGTGGCTGTTGGGTTTGAACCACCAGCCTTCTGGTTAGTGGTCAAATGCCTTAGGCACTACACCACCAGAGCTCTTTTTTCTTTCTTAGAGGTATATAATTGTTACAATCAATTGCACCTTGGATTTGAAATACAGTATGCTAAATTTAGAAAATGTCATAATAATACTTTTACTGCAACCTATAGGTTGAATGAGGTTGGTACTCTATTTTTAAGAAAAAATATTAACAACTTTCCTTGTGCTTTCCACCTTTTTTTTTTTTTTTTAAGTTGGATGTTATACAAGTACCTGAGTTAGATACACTCCTTGGAGAGAACAATCATGGGAGAAAGAGGGGCTGTTTATGCACAGGGAGACAGTTGAGGGGGCAGGAGTGCATGGAAGGATGGACACAGGGAAGAGGTAACTATTGGGAGGAAGTGGGAGGGGAGCTGTTGCATTGGGGTAAATTGTAGTCAATGTCAATGTGTGTGTTAACAGCTGTATAGAAAGTGAATTTGCTCTGTAAACTTTCTCCCAAATCACAATTAAATATATATATATAATATATATAGAATTAATGTGGAAGTAAAGGCCCCTGGGCAGTGCAATAATTTTTTATTTCATCTGTGGTAGTTAAGGTTGTGTGTCAACTTGACTGGGCTTGGTTGGGTGGCTGGACAGCTGGTGGTAGTTATCTGCCATGATGAGAGTGGCAATCAACTCCACGGTGGGATCTACCACAAGCAGATGAAGCTTTAGGGGTATGGTCTGCTTCCCATATATAAGCAGCAGCTTTGGGGTTGGTCTCTGGCTCACAGCACACTTATACCCTACATACAGGTGTGTCGTCGTTCAGCAGCCTGTCGTGCTCTGCTGATCTGGAGTCTTTTAATGGACTTGAATTAATGGCCTGCCATGTGGTTGGTAACATCGGGACTGTGCCTTGTTACTTGTCCACCTTGGGTTTGTCAGCCTCAGCAGCCAGCAGCTGAGTGAAGAAAAGCCCCTAGCTTTAGTGGGCCGGGAGCAGGAGGCAGAGCTGAAGACCAAGGTTGAGGGGCTTTCACCCAGCTCCTAGAGCCTGGCACTTTGAACTCAGACTTAAAGTCTTGAAATTATAAGAATAAACTCCTTTTTGTTCAAGCCAAAAAAAAAAAAGAAAAGTTGAATATGACATACCTTTAATTTAATATTTAACTACTCCTTTTCAATCCATGGGCTATCACTTTACTGGGTGAAAGAAAGCATTTCTTTATTTGGAGATTTTTTTCTTTATTATTCTAAAAATTTATAAAATCATGCTTATTAATTCTTGTCTTCTATTTTAACTTTTTGTAAGTAAAGGCAAGGCTTGACTCGTAAAATTTTTAATTTATACACACACACACACACACACACATGTGCATGCATGTATGTGTATCCTGACACACAACGTAAAATGTTTGCCTTTTTCTTAGTGACAGTATAGTCAATAAAGTATGTGGGGGGAAAAGCAATTAAAGCACATTTAAAAGCTCTGGTGGCGTAGTGCCTAAGGCATCTGACCGCTAACCAGAACCCACCAGCCACTCTTCGGAAGGAAGACTAGACTTCCGTAGAGATACTGCCTCGGAAACCCACGGAGGTTGCTGTGAATGGGATTTGACTCGATGGCAGTGAGTTTGGTTGGTTTTAAAAGACCAGACTTTATGCAGCCTTAAGAATGAGAAAGTTCTTTACATACTGGTAGAGAAAGATACCTGAAATATATTGTTACATGGAAAAGAGCAAAGCAGAGAACAGCACATAGAAGATGGTATCATTTGTGTAACTTATATATAAAAAAAAGATCTTATATCTGATTCTGCTTACACATGAACAAAATGTCTCAAAGAATCCACCAGAAGTTAGTAAAACTGATAGTATGTGGAACAGTGGCTCAGGAACAGGGGAGGAAGAAGAGTCTTCACTGTCTACCTTATTATATTTGAGAATTTTTAAACTATGTGAACATACACATAGCCAAAATCTTAAAGACTAACTGTTGCTATTTATTTATTTAATTGTTTCATTTATTTAATTGGCCACAATATTATTATAATGATCAGTTTTCAGAGTATTTTTATTGTATTTACACACAAATGAAAAGTCATACTAGTAAGAGATTAAACTCCAGAAAGAAATCAAAATACTAACCCTTAAATCCCAAGATTTTTTAAAATACAGATTGCAAAACCTAGGGTGGAATATTAAATAAAAGGTAACTGTCCCTGTATGTCCAAAGATTAGTTCAAATCAAACCAAGATATAAGTCATCATTTATCAATTTAATTTTAAAGGAATACAACTGTGGCATATTATAAACAATACAGTTTTTGATAGAACATAGTACAAATAATCAACTAAAGAAAGATAAATAAATGATCATTCTCCATTAAAGTATAACTTTCTTTTCAAATGTAAGAAATATAAAATCAGCCAGAAAAGTAAACATCATACCACAAATTAAATACATTACGTGTGAGCACATATATATATTATATATAATATATATAATGTATCTGACAACTGATGCTGCATATTTATAAGTATCCCATGCAATATACAATCCGATTCCAGTGGTAGAGTCTTTGATGATAACACATAAAATTATGAAATGAAAAAGCTACAACTTGAATTTCATGAAAATTAGATTTCCGTGGTATTTTTAAATTGTATTAAGGAAACAGTAAAAGGGTTGCAAACATCAATGCATTACATGGATTATATTACAAGCTCAGAAAGGAGAAGAAGCTCAAACACCATTCTGCCAGGAAGAACTGCAAAACAATCTGAAATTAGACACTGATCCTTCAAGACCCAGAAATTTCCATACTTGTGTCTTATAACCACTTTTAAATAATTAGGTAAAACAAAACCATCAGTAAGAACACAGTCTTTTATTAAAATATTTTTTTAAATTAAAAATATTTGAGTAAAATTTCTCCAAGTTCTATACAGAAGTTTTCTTGAGGATCAGTACAAATTTCTTGTGCTAAACAGGTAATTAAAGATAAGCTTCAAATGAGTTTGCCAATGCATTATGAACCTATCATACTGTAGGTCCCCTAATGATTATGACTGCAGTAAGGGGGAAATATTAAGAAGGTAACAGTGGAACTTATTTGATACATTGAAAAATGTTTTTAATCCATTTTTCACTAAAAATTTTATGAACTGGCAATTTATCTTATATACTGAATAAAGCAAGGAAGTAATTTAACTTCTTTTGAAATAAATCATCCACTATCATTTGAATAGATTATGGATAGCTTTTCTTTACTGGCTAAATATAACTATGAAGTCCGATAGTGTTCATGGGTCACAACACAGGCTACATGTACTGAAGCCTATTTGTAACTGTACTGTTGATATTTTAGCATCTATCAACAACAGGTTAGCTATAAGAAAAACAGAAAAAGGTATTAATTTAAGAATTATTTCAGTCAACATTATAACTACCCTATCATTATAATTTATTGTCAAACACATATAATAAAACTAACATTTGTAATAGGAAATGCCAAATTTATTTAAGAAAAGAGTAAAATTATTAGTCCCTGATAATTTTCAAGACAAAAAGTGTCCAGTTTTGTAGACACCTCAAGCAGATTACATCAAGAGCAAAGATAGAGTAAATCAGTTAACTGATATTGTAAACATCAGACAGTGTTCATGGTACATACTGGACCTACAGTAATAGTTAGTGCTGCAGAAGCTAATGATGCTTTGGGCAAACTTGGGGAAACATGAATACCATGCAGTTTTACTGAACTCACCTGACAGAGGTGTAAAACCATTCTCTAGGAGCAGAGATGCATGCACAAAAGTAAGAACATGATTGCAAGTAATAGACTTCAACAAAATAAAAATATAACACTAAACTTCAAAATGACAAAAAATGGACAACATGATGAGATTGTTGGGATGAAAATATCTTTGTGTGTCTCACCTCTCTCTTTGCCAGCAGCACGTTGGGAACAATGTGTGGCAGGCAGCGTCCCAGCATGAGCATGACGCTCTTTTCACTATCTGCAATCCGAGACACCTGGAAAACCAGAGTTACCAAATGACTATAGGGGTGAACGTCTGTGCGTGGTCATACTGAAAGTTCATGCTTCAGACCCCACCTCAGCTCCACACCTACATGCCAAATCATAACTGTAACATCAATAACAGTAACTGAGGCTCCAAACTGTAGAAACCTTTCTGCGGGCCAGGAGTGGATTAAAAACACTAGTAAGTATACAAGGATAAATAAAGCTGGCCAGGGAGGCCTGCTAACTCCATTCTGTACACAACCAGGGATAGCACGGGACTAAGGCAGCATACTGGGGTTTCCACTGTACTTGACAAGATGCCTAAAAAGCTCCAATCACTGCCTAATGCTATCGTTTGTATAATGAAGCTGCATGCTCCAGCCCAAGGAAGGAGAAAATTGCCAGCATTGCATCCAAACTATCGACCAGCTCTTTGATATCGCCAATGACATTGCAAGACATAAGCCCATGACAGGGCTGAGTGGAATTAATCACAAGACAACAAGAAAGGGAAGAGTGAATAAAAAAAAGAGGAGATCAGGTGGCCAGCTAATACATGAAGAGATGCTCATGATCACTGGCCATCAGAGAGATGCAAATCAAGACAACAATGAGATACCATCTCACCCCAGCACTGATGGTAAGGTTCAAGGAGACAGAAAATAACAAATGCTGGCAGGGATATGGAGAGATTGGGACTCTCAAACACTGTTGGTGGGACTGTGAAGTGATACAACCACTGTGGGAAGGAGTATAGCAATTCCTTAGAAAGCTGGAATTGGAGATACTATTTGACCCGACAATCCCATTACTAGGTATATATCCTAGAGAGGTGAGAGCCAGGACAGTAACAGATATACACACACTCATGTTCATCACAGCACTATTTACAATAGCAAAAAGATGGAAACAACTTATGTGCCCATCAACGGAAGAGGGGATGACCAAACTATGGTATATACAGACAATGGAATACTATGCAGCACTAAAGAATAATGTAGAGTCTGCAAAACCCCACATAGTATGGATGAGCTTGGAGGACATTATGATAAGTGAAATAAGTCAATCACAGAAGGACAAATATAATATTAGTTTGTTGTTGTGGAGGGTCAAGGAAAGGTTTATATATGGAGGGAAACTTTCCTTGTTCGTTGCCAGGGTTGGGAGGGGAGGGAAGGGACCACTGGGGGGGGGGGAAGAATTTACCCATGTCACTTTAGTTTTGTGTATTTCACTGTCCATATTTATATTTCAATAAAATGCATCCAAAAAAAAAAAAACAGAGAAAAATAATAATAACTAGCCATATTGGGCAATGCAACTCTAGAAAGAAAGGAGTTTTCTGCAGAGAAATGGGCATATGCACAAAAAATGCATCCAAAAAAAAAAAAAACAGAGAAAAATAATAATAAAAAAAACCTTTATCTCAAGATGAGACTGCAACTATTAACCAACCATTCAAGGAAAACTAACAAGAATAAGTACTAACAAACTCAGTAATTCAGAGACAATCACTCTCAATTAAATGCAAATAATGGAATAATTGAAATATAAACACTTAAGTTAGCTTTCTGAGTTATACTAAAGACATGCACACATCATATTACATATTTCACTTAATATTAATAAACAACAAAGCTTTAATCCAGACAACAGAAATAATCAACTACTTTCCTTAAAAGTTTAAAATTTTAGTAATTATTTCTTAGAACATTAACAGTAGATTTGTATTTGAAATACAGGCTAATTACAGCTATTTTTGGAAAGAGGTACAAAGCAGAAAAACATGAACACGTTTAAGAGAGTAGCAAGATATCTGATATAATTTACCTCTGATCCTAAACGACTATCTGCTGACATTCGACAAAAAGAAAGTAGTGCTTGGTGGAAAGCAGGAGATAATTTCCTAAAAGAAAATATTGGATGAAAAGAAGGTAATATCAAAGAGTCATTGCTGACATTTAAGGAGCAAGCTGAATGCTACAACTCCCATCCCTGTATTATCTTACCCCCAAATGGTAACCAGATTTCTTAGCCACCAATGACTTGAAGGACACTTCACTAGAAAATTACACAGTGGAAAACTCAGCACTTATTGCTGAACCTGAAGTAGCTAGATGTTATGTGACTGAATAGACCTTTAATGTGAGTGGCTCAAAGCTGAAGTTGTATACAGGTCAATGAGTACAGCAACTATTTGCATAATCTGAAATGAGGACTCTTCCCTGCTAATTCTCTACGGACCCAGAAATATAAACAGTGGAGGCAAAGGTTGCTCTTGCTGAGAAGAATCAAAGTTTTTCACATATAAAACCTTAATGTTAGAATCTGACATAAAATAAGAAAAATTTAGAGATAAATGTAAGAGAGGCTCATTCAGAATTCATGGTATGTTTTAAAGAAAATTAGCATAGTGGCTAAGTCACTTGCCTGCTAACCAGACGGCTGGCGGTTCAAACCCACCGGCCACTCCTCGGAAGGAAGGTTGGGCAATCCTACTTCCGTAGTGATACTGCCTCGGAAACCCAAGGAGGGGTCGCTATGAGGCGGGGGGCCGACTCGACGGCACATAACAACAACAACAACAACCTATTTACATTTAAATATGGAGGTTAAAGCACCATTTATATTTCTAAAATAATATTGGTCTCTATGTCATTTCTGTTACTGTACTGTTGAGTTGGTTCCAACTCAGAGCAACCTATGTACAATAGAACTAAACAATGCCCGGTGCTGAGCCGTCCTCACAATCACGGCTATGTTTCAGCCGACTGTTGCAGTCACTGCGTCAATCCATTTTGTTGAGGATCTTCCTCATTTCTGCTGACACTCCACTTTTCCCAGCATAGTGTCCTCCAGGGACTGGTCCCTCCTGCTATCATGTCCAAAGTACATGAGAGGAAGTCTTGTCATCCTTGCTTCTAAGCAGTATTCTGGCTGTATTTCTTCCAACACAGGTTTGGTTGCTCTTCTGGCAGCCCATGGTATATTCAATATTCTTTGTCAACACCGTAATTCAAAGGCATTAATTCCTCTGTGGTCTTCCTTATTCATTATCCAGCTTTCATATGTGTATGAAGTAACTGAAAATACCATGACTTGGATCAGGTGTACCTTAGTCCTCAAAGTGACAGTTTTGCTGTTTACAAGTTTAAAGAAGTCTTTTGTAGTAAATTTCTCCAATGCAATATGCTGTTTGATTTTCTGACTACTGCTTTCATGGGTGTTGATTGTGGATCCAAATAAAATGAAATCCTTAAAGACTTCAGTATTTTCTCTGACTATGTTGCTTATTGGTCCCGGACTTGTTTATTTTTATTTCTATATAGCAGTGTTCATAAAATTTTGACTGTGAGTTTTATTTTTCTTGTTCAACCTGTGAAGAAAAGTCTAATACCAAAAGTTACACACTCAAAAACCAAACCCACTGCCAGTGAGTCAATTCCAACTCACAGCAATTCTATAGGACAGAACAGAACTACCCCAAAGGGTATACATCTTTATGGAAGTAGACTGCCTCATCTTGCTCCCAGCTAGTGGCTACTGGGTTCGAACTGCCAATTGCACCCTTAACTGTGCTACCAGCATTCCAAAAATTACATAACAGAGCTTATTTAGTGTACCAGATGTCAGTACGACACAGGGTGGCACTCGGTAATTTCTATTCTGGAGTTACAGTGGTGTGCCCTGTTTGCTCATTTATATTCCTCCTTCCATATTCTCTCAGAGAAGGGTACCATAATCCATCCAATTGCCCAAGTCAGAAACTTCAAGTTAGCCTT